CCCGCCCTTGCACCAGCACCCACCCCTACCCTCACTCTCACCGCTGGCCCGACCCTTATTCCCACCCCATTGTTACACTCAACTCCACCCTAAACCCTGGCATGTGCTACCACTACCAGGCAGGAGTCGATAGGCAGTAGCTACCTCATTGAGCCTGTGAGTAACACGTAAGTTATTTTTAGGATATTGATAGTAATATTTTTTTTATCGATTGAATATACAACTAATAATTTGTTGTTTTAAGGTTCTACCCCCTTACCAAGACTATTTAAGCCATTTAGGATATCATTCAAAGTAAGTACGACTCAACGTACTTGTCGCGGAAGGAGATCCTGATAGCAGTTCGAGATCTTTGGTGTCAAGAGTTTGCGGTATGTATCATTCACAATATCTTAATTTATTTTTATTTATGTATTGAACAAACATAAAATCTAGCATAAATTCAAGCCCAAGGCAGTGATCATCTCTGAAACATGTTTGGCGATATTCAGAGATCACGACAACGTCCTCTATGGCTCAGAGAGGATGTTTTTTTTTTTCCATGTTGCTTAAGGACTCATATTCTCAGAACTACCAGAAGAAGAAGGAGAAGGCAAGGCTGAATAGTCAGTCGGACTATGGAAGCACGGGGCCCTCCAAGCACACTGGTGGGGTGCTTCCACATAAAGAATATAAGCGATAACATTTCATTCCTTCATTAAAGTTTTCTATAATTTGAAGTTGTATTCTAACCATTTCGTTATATGGACAAATTTAGAGATGGGGTGAGAGCCCTCCACCATCAATGTACATGAGCACACCTACCAGAGGCACTCCGACCAGTCCTGGATCGATGAAAGATCCCGTGCAACCCATGTAGCTCAGGAGCTAAAATTGTTTTTTTTAATACATGCTAGTGATAACTGAAAGTAAGTATTTTTTTGCAGGAGAGATTCCAACAATTGAAATAGAGCCGATCCCAAGCATTAGGAGGTATTACAATCCACGATTATGATCCTTCCAAGTACAACCTATGAAGGGAGGCTGCTGAAGGGAAAAAGAAGGGTAGATTCTACGAGCTTGGGTCACAAAGGTTTGCATATGACGCTCACCCCTCCACCAATGCATATGCAACTTCTATCTCTACAATTCAGGATGAGGTGATCTCATGGTGTGTTGTCGCATTCTCTCCCGAGAAGGAGGCCCATTTCACTCATATGAGATCAGAGCTAGAGGCCAAGTTGAAGGTCGAATTAGATTCCTTCCAACAGCAGATGATGAAGCATGACAAGGAAGTGACAACATTGGAGGAGGAGGAAACAATAGAGGACGATGAGGATGAGGATTAGAACGAGGATGAGGAGATAAAGGAGAATGATTAGAGGGAACATTTTTTTTTTATGATTATGCTGAACGTTTGTACATATATTTTCTCTGTGAATAGAGATGCATATATTTTATATTAAATGCATTTGATATGTTTCATTATTTGATTGGATAATTAAATGTTTAACTGCTATTCTAGTTTTTTAATTGCTTAGAATGATATATTAAATGTTGTGATAACATTTATAGTAATGTAAATATGAAATGGGGAATCTCTTTTTTTTATTCTATAGTTTCTATCGGCTTACCATCGGTTTACGTCAACTTCTGACATATTTGTAGCCAAAACCAATGGCTAGCTGATAGACTTATTTATAGACGTTTAACCACACCTAATCAACGACTTAAGTGTGTCATAAGAAACTGGCTGGTGAGGCACTTTTCCGACCGATAAAAATTACCGACATTTTTTTACCTACTAGCCTAGAACCAACAGAAATATCGAAAACAATGATTTTTCTCATCATAATCAATGGAAATTGGCTGTCAGAAAATGTAATTTGTGTGTGTGTGTGTGTGTAAGTCGCTTATTGGCTAAGATGCGTTCTCTTATTGGTGACATTACTAAATATGATGATATTTTGCTACTACATCGAGGCAATGCCATGATAGCACTTCAATTCATAAACTCATTAATCATGGATAGTTTCTTGCTCAAAAATATGAGAAAATGTCAATAATGCTGGCAAAAAATTTCGTAACACGTGAAGCCCTCATCTTTTTTGCTCACAAAATTATCATCGCTAACGCACTACGAAGTAAGAGACATACCACACATGACACAGCGCCACATACCATGATACAATGATACGATATAACGGTATAAAATATGATAATTTGTCATGCACATATTTTTATATTTAATCCATAATTAATATAAAATATATATTTTTTCATTATCTCTACTAAAATCACAAAATAAAATATACAAGAATAGAATTTAGCCTTATGAGTTCAACTTGCAGTAAGAAATCTCTTAAGAAAAAATATACTATTTTAAAATCGTACACATTTTATAATTCAAAAATTCCTTCAACTTATCTACTAAAATTTTAAATATTATGTAATACACTTTATTCAATTAATTAAGTTAAAATTTAACTTTTAGAATTGTAATATGTATAGATTTATAACTATTAGTTAATTCAAGAGTATAAAAAAAAATAAATTATCACTTATAGAACTAAGACAGCTTTAACTTGACTCAACTTCGATAAATAGAGGCTTCAACGCAAGAATCACTAAGTTCGACTTAGGCTTCGATGTAGGGTATTTGGATTAGCTTTAACGAATAGATTAGACTCCTGCTCAAGTTGAAAAAAGGTTTATGATATGAGCTTTAGCTGGTGTAGATTCAACTTCAATAAAGAAAAGGGAACTCAAACACTTCAGTTCGGAAAATTAACGAACATTTGATGCTTAACTTTGGAAAACTAAGAAGGAACCACTGATGCAAGGTTCAATGAATGTTTGATGCACTTTCGACATTCGGCTTTGACGACCTTGCTCCGATGACGTTTGGATGGAGCTTCGACACAACGAGAGAGGAATCTGCTTTGACTATGAGATGTAATTAGGGCTACATGTATTTTTATAATTTTCAACTTTTAATGTCTTGCTTTCCTCAAGTTGTGTCAAGCTTATGTACGGCGTTGTGTCAAGGTTTATCCTGAACGTGACAGGGTTTTAGAAAAATTCAGACTCATATTGTGCAATGTCGGACATTTGTCTGGATGTGTCGAAGTCATGTTCGCGTCCGACACAAGTACAACTCTTTTTTGGAATTCTGTGATACATAGCTAATGTATCAGTATCATAAATCTCATCAATGTATCAGTATCATAAATCTCATCATCTTGATTTTCTTGGTGGCAATATTATATTAATATCTTTCTTATTGCTCATAAGTGGACTAAATTCTTCCTAACATACCCTTTGTTTGATTGCTCCCTCGAGAGTTTGAGCCGAAAAATAGAGAAAAAAAAAAAAACTCTGGCCTTTTTACTAAATTTCTAAATCTAAAATAAAGTTTTTTTATTCTCTTATTTTGTCATAAATTTTTTGCCACATAATAAATAGCAATAAAATGTGAGACATGCGGTTCAACTCCCTCATATTAAAAACTTTCAATATATATATATATG